TTGCTGTTACAAATTACTGCCAGCTTCGTGGCTTAAAACAACACAAATTTATTACAAGTTCTGGAGGTCAGAAGTCCTAAAATCAAGATGTCAGCACAGCTGCAATACTTCTGGAGGCTCCAGGGGAGACTGTTTTCTTACCTTACCTTGCTTCTAGAGACCACCAGCATTTCTTGGCTTATGGTCTCATCCTCCATCTTCTAAGATGAGCAGCATAGCATCTTCCAATCTCATCTTCTGCTTCCCTCTTATGAGAACCTTTGTGATTATCTTGGGCCCCCTTTCTCAAAACCCTTGATTAAATCATATCCACAAAGCCTCTTTTGTTATATGACAGAATATATTCACAGGTTCCTAGGGGGTCATCATTTAGCCTACCATACTACCACTTCTATTAGTACTCCACTGGCTAAAATCTGATTGTATCTCATGAGCTAGGCACAGGGCTAACTGCTTTACAGTTTTTAAATCTCAATCCACAAGCCACACATTAAGATTGTATAACTTTCTCAGGCTTGTGACTAAGCCATTGCTTTCTGATAAATGAGAGTAATTAATCAGAAAATTGAGTAACAATGACTTACAAAATCTGCATTTCTACTCCTATCTAGCACTGACTTGTATATGCCTACAAGTTAACTATAAGTAAAACTACAAACTCGTATTTTTAGAAAAATGTAAGTCATGTAGGTAGAAATTTGCGTTTAGAAATAAGCTATATTTATGAGTTGCTGGAACTAAAGCCGTAGTTTCTGGGTTCAGTTAGCTTAGATCACTGAGACCAATGCTAGTTAGATTTATGGTTGCTCTACCTAAGTAGGGCATTTCATTGCACTCAGCTTAGAAATTACAACTCAAACTTTTGACCAAGATCCTAGGAAATGCAGACCTTTAACCACGGCCTTTATCAGAAAAGTGTGGGTGAGACCCCAAAATCCATCCCTGCTGCTCAAAAACCAGTTTATAAACCGATGAGCATTGAAGAGTCCCTCATTATCACGTAGTTGAGTAGCATCTGTTTAGGGTCCGCTTGCCACTCAAATATGTTAGATGCAGTCCTTAACGTACCGTGAAACACTACGCAGTGCAGCTGATGTATCTAAACGGAAGGCTCACCAAATGACAATCTGGCACCTAAAACTTGCTAGGTATTACAAGGGTTAGAGGCTCTTGCACACTAGTTTGAGCCCCTTAGCTGTCTGACTTAAGGCTTTTTTTAAGATTGGACATAATTAAGGAGACACACAATTATAAAACTTGAATACAGAAATAGTTTAGCCCAGTGGCTTCCAGCCTGTTGGCTATAAACTCTGGCAGCATCTGGGAGTTATTGTAAGGAGCCCATTAATCCATTTGAGCGCCAAATGTCTGTAGACTAAGTATATTCTACTTATCAAACACAGATATGGTTGTGATGAGTAATATGAATTTCCTTGAAAAGATCACTGAACTCATAGAAGTCTATAATCCTTTTCCTCTTATTAATCATTAGGTGCTTAAGGGCAATTAAGTCCACGAAATTCTGACATGCTCAGAGTAGTAGGGCACCTTTGCTTCGGCTTAGAGAATTTAGCAAAGTGTCCACAAAACACTTCTAACACACAAACACTTCCATTCATGTAAGATTAAAGCTTTAAAAGAGCTCATCTGACAGGCTCCTAGAAGGTATGCTGAGGAATGAGTTGAACAATAACATATCAAGTAAGACCAACTAATAATGCTGATGAAAACTTTCAACAGCAAATTTTTCTTTGTACCATATCTTATGAGAAAGGTTAGAAAAAGAAGGTAAAAAGCACTGTTTCATGTCTTTAACTTGCTTGCAAGAGTATCTAAATCAATAAACTGGATAGGGCAGATTTTGAAAACCAACACTATCCTCTTTAAAGATTATGTATCTGGCTTTTAATTTGTAAATAAACAATATCAGTTTGTATAGAACTTTACAAAAAATGTGTGCATTGTAGGATTTCTTATTTGTAGTCTTTCAAAATCACAAACTTCTTTTTCAAAGGTGAGAAAACGAACCATATGAAAGGTTAAGTGATTTTTTCCCCAAGATTATAGCATAGTTATAATGGAAGAGCTTAGGTTATTAAAAAGAATACACACAACAGCAGCAACATAAGTAATGTGGATTAGATTTTAGAAGGGTCATACAGAATTTTCTAAACACATTTTGATTATTTGATCCCAATTAAGGAAAACCAGAGACATTTTGTGGTCATCTTACCTTCCTTAAATGGAGGAACAACCCCACTGATTTAAACGGACTGTATAGCACTGTTTGAGTGTTGAATATATTCATTAAACAAAACTTTTTAAATGTGTATTTTTGAGAGAGAGAGCTAGAGACAGAGCATGAGTGGGGGAGGGGCACAGAGAGAGAATGAGACACAGAATCGGAAGCAGGCTCCAGGCTCTGAGCTGTCAGCACAGAACCCTACACGGGACTCAAACTCGTGAACCGTGAAAGCATGACCTGAGCCAAAGTTGGAGGCTTAACCAACTGAGCCACCCAGGCGTCCCAAGTATTGAATATATCCTTTTTCAGTCATTTTCAGACCTCGTATAATAAAAATTCCTCTTTAGAGATTAGTATTCCAGGCTCTAATGATTTTCTTTATATCCAAACACTTACTAAAATAGGTTGGTAGCAAAAGGCAGAGTTGGGTTTTAGAATTTATAATTACAAAGGATCCAATATTGGGGCGCCTGGGTGGTTCAGTCGTTAAGTGTCCAACTTCGGCTCAGGTCATGATCTCGCGGTTCGCGAGTTCGAGCCCCATGTCGGGCTCTGTGCTGACAGCTCAGAGTCTGGAGCCTGCTTCAGACTCTGTGTCTCCTTCTCTCTCTCTGCCCCTCCCCTGCTCACGTTCTGTCTCTCTCAAAAACAAACATTAAAAAAATTTAAAAAACAAAAAACAAAGGATCCAATCTTTATAAACTTTGCATATAATAAAAAAACCCTTCCTGTCTATAGGATTGTGTGACATTGGAATATTTCAAGGAGCTTGCAGCTTCTCCTTGGAAATCTTAACCACAGTATAAATTAAGTTGGCTGAGGGGGCCCTGAGTGGCTCAGTCGGTTGACCATCTGACTCTTGGTTTTGTCTCAGGTCATGATCTCATGGTTTTTGAGTTTGAGCCCTGCTTCAGGCTCTGGGTGGACAGCCTCTGATAGTGCAAAGCCTGCTTGGGAGTCTCCCTGACTCTCCCCTGTGCATGAGACATGTGTGCATGCTTTCTCAAAATAAATAAACTTAAAAAAATTTTTTTAATTAAGTTGGCTGAAAGCTAAGGTGCTTGACAGCTGACAAGATTTCTATATTCCTCTTCATATTATTTCCTTCAGCACCTGTTGATGGGGAACAACCTGCCCATATTTCTCACTACAGCTGTTTGCTGATATATAGCTGTTTCCCTTTTCCTCAAGTATTTACCTGCAAAATAAAATATTCACTCTTCTCTTGTCACTTACAGTTGACTCCTAGCTAATAGAGTTTCTGCTGATTCCTAGAGCACCAAAGTTTAAGTAGCAGGTTCTGGTTGGGTCTGTTCATTTAGTGAATCACACATTCATTCAACCAATCAACCAGCATTTACAGATCATCCACTATGTGCTGAATTCGGTCACCTTAAATGGAACCAAAACAACAACAAAAAGTTTTAAAGAATTACCAGAACTTTTATTTTTGCTTAGTTTTATTAAAAAAATAAATATGTCATAAAGCTTTATTTTCCTTTAAGGAGAAAAAAAGGAACAAGTTTCATAAAATCAAATAAGCAATGGTAAGGTGTCTTAACTTGAAAAAGATTGGGAATCACTGGTTTACAAGTTATAATTGAATGAAAGAACAACTGTAACAGCCAGTTGGCTGTTTCATGCCAATGGCAGCAAACAACAAGATCAACTAGGGCAAAATAAATAATTGTGTGGAAGCCCTGATAAGTGCTTAAACAGACCGATTCACTGAGACATCAGTATAGATATATCTTGTTTTAAACAGCACAGGAGTTCCTGAAAAGTTTTGTGTAAATGAAATAACCACAAACATACTAGGAGAGCTTGGTATCTGAAAGAATTCCATGGTGAATTCTTTTGTGAACAACCACTTCCACCAATCCAGGTATTTGCTTTGCTAAAGGCAAAGTATACCTGGCTGCTAACTCTCTGAAGTGAGGCATTAGCATACACGCCTAACATCGCTCCAGCTGGGCCAGTGGCACAATTTCCCAGTTTGTGTTTCTATTAAGTAGTGTAAAGTACAGAGTCAGCCAGGGAACCCAGCTGCATCTGGCAGAGCAGGCACAGGGGTGGGATAACCACCTTTAACATCATTTCCAAGCCAATAAATACTTTTGAGAGTCTACTTTGTGCAAAGCACAGTCATAAACCTTATCAATTCAGTTATAGATGTAACTTCCTTTCTCTAAAACCTTCAGTCAGGGCCTAGGTCTGGAACTCTAAAATAAAGTAATACTATTAATCCTCAGGACTGGCTTTAACCAAACTAGCTGCCCAACTCCTGCAGATTGGGGTAGATGATAATGGAAGAGACTGAGCTTTCTAAGGCTGAAGTTTAACAACACAATAATCATGTTTTATGTAACCAGTTAGTGAAAAATTTTGCTGGTGACAAAAATTTTTCAAATGGTTTCTTTTTTTCACTTGATGGCAAACTCTGGAGAACAATTAAAGTCGTCGCTCTCTGGCCGGGTGATACATTTCAGTTCTGCTGATAGAAAATAAAAATTTCTTTCCACCCACCAGAATTTCGTGAACTTATCCTACACCACAAGTGATGCTTTGGACAGGGAAGAAGTATGGTAGTACCAGCTCCAGTCAGTTCTATCATTATAAATAAATAGAATCCTCTCCTTGCTCACAGCCTCCATTTCATTTGGCCAAACTTCTACCAGGCTTAAGTCACATTTAATTAGTTAGGCTGTTCAGTTTCTTTCTTTTTTGTTTTTTTTTTAAATTGCTCCTAATACCATTGCTGCCTATATGTACAAGTGTGAATAAAAAGAGAATGCAATCTTTAGTCTTTTCCACACTGAGTACACTAACAACAATTAGTAAATAATTAAAGAATAAGTGGTCATTTTAAAACTTGTGTTTTTCTTTAAAAAATTTTCACTTTCTAGCACTTAAAAAAAGGGGTCTTAAAAGTGCCCTATTAATGTCCAATGCTGTTCCCACTCTGTCCTACCCATCCAAAACCTGCTACAAACGCTGGATTGAGTTCATATCAAATAACTTAGCCGTACCAAGATTTTTCAAATGGAAACAGTGTTACTGACTTCTTCATATTGGATAACAAAATAAGGGTAACTCTGATCATCATTAAAAATGACAAAAATCTGAGGCTCAAAGAAATTATCCACACAAGAGTCATACAGGTCGCTGGTGACACTGCCAGGATTGACAGGAGGGGGCCGTCTCATGCCATGACTGCCCATCGTGTATCTGCCAGTTAGCACTTTGGCCAGAAACATGAAATGGACTCCTTTGGACGACTTCTTAGAAAAGTTATGAGAGTAGCTTGCCTTCTTTGCAAAGTAACTGCCTTGTCCAAACATTGTAGCATGCTTTCCACAGACTCGAGGGTCAAAGTTGTGCTTGCAGATTCCATCTACCACATCCTGGGATGTTCCATGAAATAAATGTCTCTCATTTATTATTCTGTCACGGCCAAACATTTTCCTGTTCATATATTCCTTTTTCCTAATGCAAACAGTGGGCAGGGGATTCAGAAAAAGGAAGGTACGTATCAATTTAATAGGCAAGACATAGTCATAAACTTCTCTTTATGGTTTCAATGGGGAGGAAGTGTTAAAGTAGTTTTCAAGGGCACAATGTCATCAACGATCATATTAAAAGTGTACACTTATCTTTTCCACTGCAGACAAGAAAAGCCCTTTCATTTTTTTCCCCAACACCTGTTCACTTGCTTTCTCTTCCATTTCAAATCTAGCTCACAGACTTACCTTCTCAGGATGGCTTCTTTGTCTAATTCCACTAACCTGAGGGTCTCTTAATTCTGAGATTCCTCAAATCTGCATGTATTCTTTTTGTACCACATTTGTTATTTGAGAGGCAGCACAGTCAAGTGATTAAGAGCAAAGCCTCTGGTGTTAGACTGCCAGGGTTCAAACTCTAGCACATATCTTATTAGCTGTGTAACATGTGGGAAGTTACTGAACTTTTATATGACTCAGTTTCCTCTCTGTAAAATGTACACTGCAACAATCCTACTTATAGGTCTGTTTGAGGAGTATATGCGAGTTAATATATGAAAAAATACGAACATATTAGGTTTTGTGAAAGTCTTTACTATTATGTTCTGCATTTGTCATTAGCTACATTAAGAAAAGTTCTCTTGAACTTTTCATACTGCTGACTCACCTTTTATATTTCTCCCAAAGAAACTGGTTTTGGACTCTCAATATTTGCAAAATTCTATATTTAAACTCAGGCACAGTCTTATGAAAAAGATTATAAATGATTCGATAACTTTTGTCCTCTGCAGAAACAGGCACTTGGATGAAGTCCTGAGATGGATGCATATAAACCCAAGTTTCAGGGTAAAAGTTTGCTGAGGTGACCCCATCTGGGCAGATAATCTGTGACGAGGAGGTTGCTTCAAGAGGTGGAGGAGCCTGTGTGGGAACACCACCAAGTGTCCTAGAAGGGAGAGGAAGGAATGTCAATGTAAAACATTCAGAGAGAAGCACATCTCACATTACAGTGCTCTATAGCAATATCTAATATTATAATTTGTATAGCTTAAATGCTTATTCAAAAAACAATATAGAAAATGCTATGTATTAAAGAAAAAAAACTTAGAGTAACACTGCCTGTATACAGATCACCTATTATTAGCTTCTTCCTGGTCTCCTCCTGGTGGAGGAAACTCTGGAATGTACTGCTACAAGGCAAGCAAGCAAGAGCCAATTTATAAATATCTTTACTTTCCGAATCTTGGACTCCTCTTTTGCCTATACAGTTAAAGAAACTGTTTCAAGGGAACAACAATTTATATGCATTGTTCAAACTTTGCTGTACTAAGCAAAAAATTTGCCATTACTAAAGGCTATGTAGGTGGGGGGAGCAGAATAATGGGGAGACAAAGTAAGGCAGGCAGGGGAAGATGACATAAGATATTAAAAATAAAAAAGCTTATACTTTTTGTGTAGAAACAAACAAAAATCAATGGAGTAGGCACTGAAAGCTGACATTTGGCTTTTGCTTCATTTTTCAATATCACATAACAAGAAAACCATCAACTCTATTCAAATTTTATAGCTTTAGGTGTGCTTAAGATTGAGCTAATTAACTTTAAGCTCTAGACACCAAAATGCATATTCTTGAACCTTTAACAATTCAGGTCTTTACATTTTGAAAGATGTGCTTAGATAAGTAGCAGCTTGATGGTTACTTATTCCTGCCCAATTAAATGCTTAAATTTAAGTTATATTTTTTTGGCCATTTTCAAAACAGAGGAAAAGGGAAGAATCAGAGGGATAGGAAATCCTGGCCCTGAGACCCAGATTCAGGGTCAGGGTATTGTAACACTCATCAGCACAGAGTGGTCACAAGGAAGCAGTGAGTGTGCCAAATGGATTAAGAAACTAAAATTTTCAAAAGAGCTTTGTGACACAGAGGTTACAACTCTGAATGAACATGCAAATAGTCTCCAAGAGCATATATTACCATCACCCTCCTCATAATCACAGCCACCTTACAGTAATAAGCACTTCCTATGGACAGGCTTTTTACACACAGTATCACTACCCTGCAAGATGGCTTGGTTATCCATACTTTTCAAATAAAGATCCTGCTAGCCTAATAGCAAAGAACAGAGACAGGATTTGAATCCAGGCCTATCTATCATAGTTTATAGATGCAGCATTCTCTACTTCTATAAACTTCACAATTCATATACATACATATATAGATATATAGACATAGATATAGATATATAGATACATAGATATAGATGTAATTTCTCCCCTAAGGCTTGAAAGTGATGGATGTATACCATGGTTGCAACTCAGGTTTGCCTGACTCCCACTCCCACCACCACCACCACCACACCACACAGGTTTTTGACTTTTAAGAGATGGCTTGTTAAAAAGCTAAAAGCTACAGAAGCACGACTGCCTCCTCTAACACCCATCCCCTTCAAGTCACTGTACCTACAACTTATTATGCCTGACAGTCCCTGTGAGACACAGAGAAGTTCTGGATAGAGCCAGGGCTTACAGAATCCCTAGGTGCTTTTAAGTTCGGGGGTCAACTTGAAGGGGCACTGGTTGTTCCAATCTTCATGGCAGAGGCACAATAGTTCTTGTCCTCTGGAGCATTTTCATAAATCCCTGACAGATTCCTCCAGAGCCTTCATTCACTGGCACATTCTTCTGAAGAGAGGCCCCACTGCTTTAATCAGATTCTGAAAGGTCTGTAACTCCTTAAAAAGCCATCACTACTCTGGAGAAATGGCAGGAAACATAGAGTATAAGCTCCTTATTTTTAGCTGTTCCCTCTATTCCTGCTCTACAAAGAGAGTAAGTTCCAGCCTACCAGGTTTTCCAGTATTATTAGGGATTGAAGTTACCAAAAGAGGTTTCTGAGTTGAGGAAGGAAGGGAAGATTCTCCCAAACCACTCTGCCCAAAATAGGTTTTAGGCTGCTGTCACAGCTGTACTGAAAACCTGGCACTGACCATAGAAGACTCACATACTTAAAGATGAGCCTGTGTAAATAAATCCTAGCCATCCTAAAACATTAAATTAGATTTTATCATCCATTCCTACCTACAGATGCTTACTTTTAACAAGCCAACATCCCAATTAGGTTGAAACATAAAAATGCAGATAGACAGTTGTCTGATGGACTTCTATACTCCAGTTGCTATGGGTTAGAAATACATATTCCAAGCACAGTTACAAACGTGGCTTTATTTTCTAGGGATGTCGAGTTCATATTTAGCTCACGAGTATTCCGATGACATACTGCGTGCTTCACAGTGCTGTACCAGGCAAAGTCAAAGGGTATAGAATTTATACTTCAGGACCTCTGAAGAATGGATTTTCAGAATCCAAGGTCATCTTTTACACTCTCTTTTACTCCCCTTGCCACTTCAAAAGATGTTTCCTAACCCGCTTTTAATGATGATGTAAAAATTAATTTATTTTATCCTTTTTGAGGAGTCGTCAAAGAAACTCTATCAGGCTTTCCCATGACCATGCGGTGACTGCACCGGATAGATGTCTTTTCAGCTGAAATGAACTCCTAAACCTCTAAATCTGAGATTTGTTTGCTTATGCTGCCTCGCTCAAGTATTCCAATAATATTAAAAGAATAAGCTCCTTCTTATCAGCCTCATTAAAAAGCAGCAAGCACAAGGAAAAAAAAATATGTTCTTTGTAACTATGAGGTGATGGATGTTAACTAAACCTGCAATATATATTTTTGCAATATATATGTATGTTAAGTCATTATGCTATATACCTTAAACTTAAAAGGACAGAGGTGTATGCCAGTTACAGCTCAATAAAACTGAAGGGAATAAAAAGCACCACCAGGGAAATTCTCATTTATAAAGAGCCAAATTTGCAGGAAATTCATAGATTAAGTCTTCTCTCCCCACCTCTCTTATTCTGGCATTCCCAATTCTTAGGCATCTCTGATTCACTGAGAACTGTAGCCTTTTTGACACCTATGTTTTAATTTAACTGTCTGTATTTTACTTAAAAACAAAACTTTCTTCCTGGCTAATAAGATTAAAATTGTGGTCTCTCTGACATCTATTTTTGCAGTCTGCCTTTTTAAAAATTTTTTTATTTTAGAGAGAGAGAGAGTGTGGGGGGAGCATGGCAGAGGGAGAGAGAGAGAATCACAAGCAGTTTTCACACACAGCACAGAGCCGGGCATGGGGCTGATTCCAAGGATCCTGGGATTGTGACCTGAGCCAAAAATCGAGAGTCGGAAGCTCAACTTACTGAACCACCCATGCATCCCTGCAGTCTGCTTTTTGAAACTAATCGGCCTCTATTTTCTTCCCACTAGGCCGGTCTAAGTGCCCCACAGCTCCAGACTCTAGGGCAGATAGGAACTGAAGGGCTGCATTTACCGATTCCACTCTGATGAACTTGCTGCTGCTTTGCTCTTTTCTCACTCAAGTGTCTACATAATCTCTTTGATTTGCTAAGCTCTTACTTTATACCTGATTATCACTGTTCCAGACAAGAAGACTAAAATAGGAAATTTTAAAAAGGAAAAAGAAGAAAAAATAGAGTGAATTTCTTTGTTCTCTTATTAAGCCTATGTTATAAATAGTAAGGTGCCAAATTTGTGACGTTTATAGTTCATACTTTTACAAAGTAAGCCTAAGTTTAAAAAGAAAGGGGGAGGGGTTATTCTACAATTACTTGTTTTAGGATTGAAACAAATCATGTTCAAATCATGTTCTGTAAACCCCCCCCCC